CATTGTTCCTGCACTACTAATAAATGACAGTTCTCCTGTTCAGACAAACTTTAGAGTCTACTCTAAACACACACTCACACAAACCAGGGTGTAAATTGTGTGCCTTTTTTTTTTTTTTCTCAGAAAGCCTACACGAGCAGCCTGATGATTCTCATGGATCTCATTAGAGGGTGATCTGACACTAAAGGCCAGAGGAATATTATCCTGTGAGCTGTATGCCCTGCAGACCTGCTGAGGTAATGCTCAGGGCATATTTGCTACAAAAACAAGTGCAGGTCTAAGTAATGCCTAATAAATGTTCCTCTTGCTTTCCATTTCCTGTCGGTGGTCGGAAACGCTCCTGACATGGAGACACAGTTCAACCAGAGTTCATACGGCTCGGTTGCTAAGTCTGTGTTGTCACCTGTGGGTAATGTCACTTACAAACGTGCGTACACACACACACACACATGATCGGGTCTGAGCTGGATCTGGACGGAGCGGCTGAGGTGAGCTGTGAGTTTAGACTTGATAAATCACCACTCAACTTAAGCTCATAAACACACCATTAACACACTCCACCACAGCAACCTGATCTGTTTACCTTTACCACCGTGCTGGGGACCATTGCTCTCCCCGGGCAGGCATGTGTTAGCATACCTGAGGCCCTGATGTGCACGTCCATCACTGAGGCCGACCGACTGCAGCTGCGGACCACAGAATGGTCTCGCCGCTGCCCTCCACACTGTATGAGGTCATGTTTCCAGCACTTTGGAGACACTCTCACACGGCCTCTCTCTGCAGAGAGTGCTGTCTGATGCTGTGTTCGTGTGACAACCCAAAGGATGCTAATGTGAAGGAAAACGCAAAGTTGTTAAGAGGAGTCAACACGAGGTGTTAAAGTGGGTTTGACCCCCGCGGCGTACGCGGCTCTCTTCTGTGGTTCACCACAGGCGTATTTCATGACAGCACACTCAAAACACACGGCCGCATGAGAACACAAATTCCTGTTGTACTCCACTCAGCTGGGCACCGACGCATAAACAAAGGTATCCAGTAGAAATGTTCTAGGTGCTTTGATGTCTAACAGACGATAACGGGTGGATGCTAGTGGGCGCATCTGTATTTGCATAGAGCACTGGGGTAACATCGGCCATGTGCAGGACAGATGCTGGGCGAGCGGGGTCACGTCAGTAGACATACCCCTGCTCGGCCGTTCAAATGACAAAGGGAGGAGAAGGAGGAGGAAGAAGAGGCAGAAGTTGTGAGGAGTAAAAAAAAGCCCCAGTCTTTAGTCCAGGCCTGCTCACTGACACAAAGTCTGTCTTTGTCTGCCTCCCAGGGTGCCAGATAAAGGAATTCTTGTGTGTCGGGGGCTCTGACCGAGTTTATTTGACACTTCAGCCCCTTTTGTGGAGCAAGTGTCCCACCGTCAATGCTGGCCATGAGAGTCACTTGGCATTAGACAGAGGGTCCCTCTTCACTGCAGAAAGGGGGTCTTGTTTGGAGAAGATATTTAATGGAGGGGGTGTCCGCTCCGCGCTCTGCAGCGTACACAGACATATAGTGGGGCTCTATCCTCCAGCCCAACAACACAGGGGATTATTTTAGCTGAGGAAGTGGATGGGTTAGAGTGGAAGAAGAGGAAGGTGTCCTGCCGAAGAGGAAACTTATTCCTCCATACACGAACATCCACTGTCACTAACACGCTGTATTTAATGAGATCGACACTTCACGCTGCACAACAGGTACAAAAATGCAGTTGATATAATTGGAGCAGTAGATACAATCTCTGACTCTGACTATTGTCTGGTATCATCACTGAAAACAGGTGTCAGTGTGACCAAAGCAATGGAGCACAACACACACTCTGGACTGCTGCAGTGACAGCAGTAGGACTGGTTGACAAACAAACACACTGTTGTTGTTGTTGTGGGGGGGGGGGGGGGGGGGGTCACGTTTTGCAGATCATGGTTCTGTGGTTGCAGGTTCGTGTCCTGCATGTAAAGTTAATGACATTTCTTCTTTTTTTTAACCATGTGACCTGAACATCGCACAGACTGAGTCAGTGTTAACTGCAGCTCAGAGCACAGAGAGTAACGGACCAGTGAACAGGTGAACCAGGAAAAAAGCAGGGAACAGTTCTGGACCGCTCCTCTTCACAGTTACGGATAAATACGAACCTGAAGTGTATTCGACTTTTTTTTTCGTATATTAGTTAAAGATAATGTGCACCCATCGTGGAAATATAACTAAAACTGCTGAAGCATATAAAGTACAAATAACACATTTGACTAAAAAAAAATTAACTAAACTGTTCCGATTCTTCAACAAAACAAGGTTAAATCTGTGTGAATGTCCAACATACCTGCTGCACAGAGATGTTGCGTCCCAGTATCATCCGAAGCGCTGATCATCTTCTGAGCATCTCCTCTAAAATATAATCCAGGATATTCCGTGCGTCAAAATAAACAACCTCTCCATCTCGTCTCCGAGACTGTGGCGCTCCTGTAACGCTGGAATTCAATGGACCACGCGTGAACTATCCCCAGGAGGCTCGTCTGTCCGACAAACTTTTCGCAGTCCCTGCTGCGTGTCCAGCAGCGAGACAGGGAAGTAGGACTGGAGACATCGCTCCTCCAGCGTCAGACAGTATTTCCTTACATCCAGGATGAAGATCCACGGCCGGGCTGATAATTCCTGCAGTGGCTGCCATTAGGTCCAGACTGTATCGAATGTATCAATAATATCAATAATAACAATAACTCCACGCGGGGCAGTGGTGAAATGCCAGCAGTTGATCCTCATGCGTAAAAGAAATCCATGCGTAAATTTCGTCTGCTCCAGTAAATCGCTTAGATCGGCGGTTATTTCTGACCAGGAATAATCTCGGAGTTGATGGTCCAGTGCAGTGATGGTGACGGTGTCGTATCGGCTCCAACCGTAAACCGTCTCAGTGTGAAATACGATGCGCTCCCGTGAAGAGCCTGAGCAGCACTGAGCCATAGTTGGAGTAAAGCACAGGAGCACATGCTGCGCTCTGGCAACGTCAACGCGCAAAGCATTGTGGTAGCGGTAGTTTATTATTGATGCCAAGCACAAATCTATTTCCACAAAAGCTGGTACACTGCTTAAAATCTGCTTGATCAATTCAACTTTTTTTATTTGACATAAACCCGTTTTTGTGTATTTTTACTGACTTGAAATAATTTTGTTAAATTGAGAAAATTAAAATTAAAAATGTTTAATTTTGTAAAATTGTCTTGTTTGTGCAATGATGCACAAACCAGACAATTTTCTAAGTAAATAAACAAATCATATGATTTAATTTTGTATTGAATATTACTTGTGTATCAATTTTTGATTTGTATAATTATAATAGATAATAATAATAATAATTATTATTATTACTTCAGTTGTTGTAATGCATTAAAATACATTCCTTTTTTTATATTTATGCTGGTAGATATTTTGTAAATGGAGAAGTGTAGTTACTATGAACAGCCAAGTGTTGCAACCTGGCTTTGTTCACTTATCACCTGTCAGTTTGGTCTCAGGTTTGCGTGTGAGGCCTGTGTGAGCAGCGTGAGTAATAATGATCATCTGTCGCTGTGCATAGATACACGGATGGCGGTGCCTTGAATCACCTTCCCATGAATGAATCTCTTGTCTTCCTTACCTCACTTTCATGTCCTAACCACCTCCAGGCTTGCTTGTGTTTCTGGGATCACAGCTTTTCCAAAACCTCAAAACCAGGGCTGGATTCCAAGGACTGGAGCTCAAATCCAAGCCTGGAACAGAAGCACAGTTGAACATAGGTACCATGAAAATGACCCTGTAAATAAAGTTTAAATAATAATAATAATAACAATAATAATAACTTTATTATTATTATTATTATTACAATTATTTACCTTATACTAAAAATATACTATTATAATAATAAATATGTTATAATTTCTACATTAGAACATTTTACTAGACTAAAAGAAATATTTTAATACTTAAAAACCTACAGATACTACACTATAATAATATGTGGATCATAATATTACCCTAAATATTTAAATAAATAATACATAACCAGATTTTTTTTTTTACAACATAAACATGTATATGATGTTTATTAGCATTCATTTTGGTTTAAATTCACGCAGCGACTAAGACGATAAGAATCTCATTAATTAAAAGGTTTCAAAACCTCAGTCGCAGACACACCTGGGCTGACGCTGCACTGTGCAGGTGAGACGGAGATTGCTTGAAGCTCCACTCCACTTTTTCCTTCACTCCACCTTTGGCCGTGCTCCAGTACAATCCAGGAGTACCTGAATTGCACGCGATTCTGTCAATTGCAGGTACTTGATGGCTTTCTTCTGTGCTGGGCTTGAACAGTTGCTGGAGGTTTGCACACACACAGCATTGCGTGACTAGAGCTGAGGATGAAAACACAAAGACATTGTTTTCAGTGATCAAACCCCCTTTATAGTAACTGAACAGCATTCCTGTCTCACATTCCTAAGCCACTGCTGTTGTGCTAGGGTTTTTTTTCTTTTTAAGGAAAAAGGCTTCAAGAAAAGGAGGGTTCCATTTTTTTTTTTTTACCTAAAGTGATGAACTTTCCTTGCACATTAACTCTACAGTAGGTTAAGAAATGGTGCAATGGGACATAATTATAAAATCTTATAGAGGTTGTTAAGATATTATTTGGTATCTGATGTAACAATACAGCCAGAATTGTATTGTATGCATTATGATGTTCAGTATGTATCTGTTCAAATAAATGTGATCTATATGCTTAGATAAAGTGCCTACTTCTGGTGTGTGCAACCTGTGGCTCCGGGGCCACTTGCGACTATGGTCAGTTTGTATGAGGCCAGCATGTAGCCTGCTAAAACAAAAGATACTGTTGGCAGTATATTAAAACAATGATCAATTATTTGCGATTAATCAGATTTAAATTTGATTAATGATTTTAGCTCTGGATCAATTAATCGTGAATAATTGAGATCAATCTGTTTAGTGTTGGTAAACTCAGCCGCAGTGACGTACAAAAAAATGTGATGACTCAAAAGTCGACTCTGCACAAAGAGCCCAAACACTGTACACAGTGCAGTGTTCACCTGGCAGCGGTAAAACGAATCTAATATTTACTGGAAGCCCTGACCTGCATGACTTCTGCTTTCAAAATACAAAGCAGGGCGGAGGACAATGGAGTTAGTCATATCTGTGGTGAGCCCTGAGACTGAGTAAGACTGGAGGACATTCATTACTGACTGGACTGAGACACAGAGGGGCTTCAGAGCAGGGCTCTTGTGCTGGACTGTTCTGGTGTCCTTTCCTTGTATCTCTTTGACCAACAAAAGCCCTATTCAACAACAAAAAAAGGCTAAAATTTGATTTCCTTATGTGGCTTTACTGACTCACAGGTCAGGATAAACGCCAGAGGCCAGAAGACGGGGAAGGTTACAATAATGTTGATTTCTACCGTGATGTGAGCAGAAACATACAGTAGAATACTGGGTAGAATGACAAAGAGGTGAGTGGTTAAATGGAAAATGTGTTTCCTAACAACAACAAACGTTTCACCGACCTGCCACACTTAGTTTCATCTCTTTTAATTTCCATCTGTGCTATTTCCTCTACATCAGTGATTATCAACTGGTGGCCCACAGGCTGAAAACTGGCCCACTGTCTGATGTGGCCGGCCTCTGGATTTTAAAAATAAACATCAACTAATAAAGTGGGTTTTATTGCCTTTTTTTTGCTTGTTTGTTTGTTTGGGTTTTCTGTCCATCATCCCAAGGTGTGTGTCCAGCACAATTCTGGCCCTCTGACAAATATAGTTGGCGAACTCTGCTCTGCATCCTGAATTGATGTGTAAAATATCAGTCTGGAAACATGATGTAAACTTTATATATGACCCAACACACACGTTAAACAGGAACTTTTTTATGTCTGTAACGTGGGAACAGAGGAAATACAGCCGACCTGGGTCACAGGAAGGTTTCAATGTGACAAGGTTCTAGAATATTCTGGTGAAAAAAATGGTTTGTTTTCGCTTCACATAATGAGACATAATGTGGCGTGTAGCTCTTTTCTTCAGAATCAGGGAGGATAAAGAGCTAATCCTCTTTGCTATGACACTGATAATACCGACTCCACACCTCAGGGAGTCATTTCTGTGAAAAGGAGGCTCCTGTGGAGAAAGACCATGTAATCAATGACCGTCAACACCGCCGTCATGCCAAGAGCCGTGTGATTTCTCACATTCCATTTTATGGTAACTGTTTTCTTAGCAAAATCTTTTCCTTTATTTTCAGCTTCTCGCTAACACCCATACATACACCCCCGACCCCCCCCACCCGCCCTCAGGCATTTAACCCGTCGCCTATTAACATGTCAGCCCATAACAAGGGCTTCTGGCATTTACTTCAACATGTTTCTCCACTTGAGAAGAAAGGAACTGAACTCTTGGCCCAGAATACTCACAGTATACAGTATAACTGACGTGAATGACTGTGTGTGTAAAAAAAAGTTGCCAAACTGACATTGTCAACACATATATCAATAAAGCTAAGTATATAATGGATGAAAATAGAAAAATATAGTCTTGCTCCTTTTAGAATACCCCCGAACTACGACAAACCACATTGTTGAGATTCTTTGATAAACTAAGCATGAGGAGAATGTGACAGTGAACTGCAGTAGGAAATCACTTTATACTGTTTTGATCGCATCATAGAAATGTCTTGTTAGGAGGCGGATCATGTTTCATTGCACTTGCTTTTATATCTTAGTTATATTTAAAGAAGAAAAGCTCAGACTGTTACAGAGGTTTTGGTTTCAGTTTAGAAGTCAGATGTTTTCTCTCACTGATTCCCAATGCCAACAACTGCAGACATTTAACAACACAGGTATTTATTAATATAAACTGGAATTCCACTTCAGGGTTGGTTCAAGGTTAAGGTTTTTATCAGGGAAATTAAGGAGTTTAAATTAGGGACCTACAGTGACGACGTAAACAGTTTCTATAATCAGGAATACAACCACCAAAGATGTGCTAAGTGTGTGTGTGAGTACGTGTGTGATCTCAGTGGCAGGCAGTGTGTAGGCAGCTGGGAGTGTGGCAGGGCTATGCGTGACTAGGAGAAATACACCTGTCTCTGTGCTCAGGTACAGAGGGGGAGCCGGCACGCAGGGGCCTGCCAGCTGAACAATGCTCTCCATTGTACCTGCACTCTGACTGCAGACGCTCACAGGAGAGGAAACCCTGAACCGAGTGTGTGTGTGAGTGTGTGTGTGCGTGTGTGTGTGTAGAACTCGCTTCTCTTTTTCCTCCCCGTCTCTCTCTCTCTTTTGCTCCTTGTTCTCACAATCACATGACATACACAGTGAAATTATTTATAGTACACATATCGTGCTGACCGCAGGCGCCTCAGGCTAAATCCCAATAAGTCAGTCTTTAACACGCAACCTGCCAACCAGAGCCGTGATGGACAGATTTGATTTCAGTTTGGTAACAAAAAAAAAACAAATCACGCAAATTGAGAAAATGTTGTGCGTGGTTCTGTGTCGACCTTTGGTATGCATGTCATCTGCATCTGCACTGGATTAGCATTTTAAAAGTTGCTCAAATATTTATAAGGCTAAGTACAGATGACTTGGATTTTTTACAGTAACATTTTTGTAAGAGAGGAACTCTTAATAACAACAGTTCTAACGAGTACCAGACACTTTCTTATCAGTCCTACCAGCACAGCCTTTTCAGAGCGTTTTGTTCTTAGTACAGATAAGGCAAAGGTACTGTAGATACAGACAGACGGACAGACGGACAGACAGACAGACAGACAGACAGAGGGACAGACAGACCGACAGACAGACAGAGACCTACAGCGAAAGCCTGAGAGGAGGGGCGGCCTGTCAGTAAATCACCGGGGCTCTCTGTGGTTTCTATAACAAAGGCTGACTTTCATTTTGCCTTGATTTGTTGGCCAATTATAATGAAAAATGAACGGAGCAAACACACAGAGAAGGTTGGAGACGGGAGGGAATGCTGAACATCTGGGTTCAGAAGTTTTGGTTCTGGGTTGATTTCGGTGAACACAAGTTCCCCTTATGTCAAACAGGAACTCCAGCTGTTGCCCAGATGGGGCTGGTTGTTCCCTCCTCAGCCGCTTTGATGAATTTTTTGGGGCACTCTCACACTTTCTTCTCTTCTTGAATGTTCTTTTTGTGCAGTGTAAGTATCATCACTTAGTTATCTGTTAAATTCCCTGGTGTGCATGCGTGCCTGTGTGTGTGCGTGTGTGAAACACCATCGGTATCTTACATGAGCATGAGTGTGTGTGCTCACTGACTAACGCAATACAGTCTTCATAAAGGTAGTATTGTTAAGTTGCGTGCGAAGCTCATGCTTTAGGCTTTGCGTCCCCGCCCTCTCCTGTAAACCACGGCCTTTTTTTCCTCTCCTTTTTTTCCTACTACACCTTCCCCTTTCTTTTTGTTACAGGTAAACATTTGATGTCCGCACGCAATCCCCAGAGAGTCTCCTCCCCTTGTTCTCTTCTCGGCTCCCTCGGTTTCCACACGGTGTTACTCACACCCTCCCTGTCACACACTCAACACCCTCTCTCACACATATACACACACACACACACACTCACACTCACAGACACACTATCCCTCCCTCCCCATTCTTCTGACATTCCTCTCCTCACTGACTCAGCACCTGCTTCCTGTGAAGGTTCTGCTTCTGAAACAGCTCAAACTTTCAAACACTTGTCACTGTTTGACTACATCAACTTTATCTGCATCCTGAATATAGTACTGATATTTATAGTACTACGGCAATTACAATGTTGGATTAATTGTTGAAAATGCAAAAAATGAAATTGTCCGTGCTAGTGATGCACCAATACCAGTACTATTCTCCGTATTTGACCTGGTACTTCATTCAAATTATTGTACTCCAACTCAAAATCCTGCTGATCCAGCAATCAGACGCTCCATAACAGCAGCAACAACGACAACAACGACTACAACCAACTGAGTACTAGAAAGAAAGCCAGTTCTACAGTTCTTCGTCTCGTGGGCCTTATGGTAGTTTATTTAGGAGATCTGTGATGGCAGCAGCTGGGAGGTAGCTCAAATATGCTGCACATGACACTATCACCCACAGAACAGCGCCACCTATGCAGTGTAAGACTGACTCAGTATCTGTGAATACACAAATAAAAATACTTTGTTAGACTCTGTATGATATAGGTTGTATGTCTCCTGCTCCTGCTCTCTTTTTTCTCCCCCATTTTTCCCTTACCCTTTTCGCAAAGGCAGATGGCTGAACATTGAGTCTGGATCTGGTGGAGAGTAAGATTTTCTTTCATTTAAACAAACAAACAAAAGAATAGATATTTGCAGTTGCCACATTATCACAGGATGTGTCACTATTTTTGTTGTAGCTAACTACTGAAATCTGGAGAAGAACATAACTGTGCAGACAATACTCCACTACTGAACTTAGTCAAAAGGTTTCTGCCTCCATTTAGCTTCCCGTTTATTTTCCAAAGCAGTAAAAATGATACTCTGAAGCTTTAAAACGTTCTTGTTGTTGCCACAGGGCCTTTCAGCAATGGGAATATGTGTGAATAATGTCCAAAATATTTACTGGTGCCTGTGAATGATTGTGATCTACCAGATGTTAAACACTGAGGGAAAGTAATAAAACAAGTCCAAATATGGTCCGTGGACTCTGAGCTGCTCTGCTGCAAATGCCAATCTCAGTCACGCACATCAGGAACTGCACCCCACAACAAAGTCCACAAGAACTGAGTGGAACTGGCTCTGATCTATCACTGGACACTGTCAGGTCGGGACAAGGATGACAGCCTTTCAGTTAGCAGCAGAAAACATGACTTCTGTCCGTCTTGATGAACAAGGTAAAGAATCTGGTAATTTTGTAGTTTAGAAGAGAATAGAGGAGGGTGGGGAGAAGAGGAGAGGAGAGGAAAGAAGAGGAGAGGAGAGAGAATGGCATTAATTCAATCCCTTCATTGTTGTGTCGTCTGTCACAGCAGCAGCTGCTTTATGTCACCAGGCTCTTTTGGCTCCATACATCCTGCCCAATTAGTATCTGTGGTGAATAGCAGTAGAATATGCAAATACAAACAGTCACTGCAGCGGCATGAGCAGCCCCCATGAGCAGCCCCCATGAGCAGCCCCCATGAGCAGCCCCCATGAGCAGCCCCCATGAGCAGCCCCCTGTTACCAGACTGTGTTAAATTAATATTAGGTTTGTTGTGCCCACAACAAGTTACCTATTGTTATGTCGGCCTTACTGTTGCACTGGCAAAGCCATTCAAACCAGATAATCTGTCTGTGTCTCCTCAATGCAGCTCAGTGTTTCCCTGCGCTCGGACAACACACACACACACACACACACACACACACACACAAAGGGGCCATTTGACAGAAATATGAAGCAGTCGGTGTGAAAGAATAAAGAGAGACTTTTCACAGTCCCTGCGGTTGGTGCCCGAGTTCCAAGACAAAGAAATTCTCAAATTCTCAGCAGCTGTCATTGTCACCTGATATCGGTTCCGTATCGGTTCTTCATATGCATTCTCTAAAGATCATATCTGCCACTCACAGCACTCATTCAGAACAATGGCCATTGTCCACGGAGGCTGTGGATGTCCTGGATATATAAGGTGTGGCAGCCAGGTCAGAGCAGTGGAAAGATCAGATAATAACAGTTTTCTCAAAACCTTGCACCACATGACTGATAGAGTCAGCACACACCGCCTTCTGTATAAAAACAAAAAAACCCTACATAATAATGTTTACAATAAATATTTGCCATTTTTCCTCTACACTATTTGTCAAACTCAAGGTCTGCGGGCCGAATCCAGCCCATCTCGCCATATTATGCGGCCCACCGGAGCTTTACATGTATATAGTTATGAATGGCCAAATACTGTGTGTGCGACAATTGCACATTGGGTTACTTACAATTTTACAAAATATCTAAAAAAAAGTACTATCTGAGTGTACACTTTGCATAAACTGCATTTGTATTTTGAGACATATGCCATATTTGTTGTGTAAAAATATTCTTTTTTTTTACTTGATGTTAATATTTTCAATGTCATTTTTACATTATTTTAATGAGGAAAACGTCTGTTACCGTCCGTTCATATTTTTCATTTCTCGTTAAATATCCATGTGTTTTAGACTAAACTAATGTTAATCCTGTTGGCCCATAACTTAGACTAGGTTTTAAATTTCTGCCCCTTGAGTGATTGAGTTTGACGTCTCTTCTTTACACGTTAGCTTTGACGCTTTAGCCATATTGTTTTGTCAATTTAAATAAAATAACAATGCAGTGACGCAGGCATTGACAGATACGTTCAAGGTGTGATCTCTGATGCAGCACATAGCGTGCGTCACTTTCTCTCTGCTCATGTCAGGCAGCTGTTTGTAAACAGTGCTCCCCACACCCCAGCCAGCTAATGACAGGGTTGAGCGATGACACAAAAGCATTCTGGCACACTCTAGCAGAGAAAAGAGCAGCCCTGGGAACGCTGATTTGAAATGAATACGACTGGTTGAAGAGGCTTAAATAATAAGAAAAGACAGAAAAAAAAAACAGTAAAAAAATAGACTTTAGTTTGGTGTTTGTGCTGATGTGAGTGATGGATTTGTGGTCTGGTGTCTTGGACTGTGTTGGACCGTTACATAACCGCCCAGGTTTTCTGGATCAATGTACAGTATTAGCACTTCATATCAACGCAGTATTTCACTCCAATTTTTGTAAACAAACAATTTCTTTATCCATGGCTCCAGATTATATTTATATAGAACATCTGAAAATTAGCAATTGATACAAAGCAAATATGCGTTATAAAAAAACCCAGACACAACAAACTTTTCCTTCGCAGTTCTACTGCATGCATAGAACTCGAGCAAAGAACTATGTTTCGTAATGAAGAAACTCTCCTGTGTAACACAACCAACAATCATCCGCGGGACAATCATGTTTTCCGACTGGTAGATCCAGTATGATTAGTAGTATGTCATATTTCGGGGGATTATTTCGATCACGGTGTATCTTGGTAAGGTCACCCTATCATAACGTGGGACGAGGGCACGAGTGAATTACCGTTCCAATGAGGCTCACCATATGGAGTCACTTGAAACCGCCCTTTGATGTGTGAGAATGGTATGCTCAGGTCCTCCTCTGCTGACGCTGACTCATTGTACGCTAGCGTGACAGCCGAGGCAGGTTAATGTGTTCCCCCTGCAGACACACACGCACACACACACACACACACACAGGGTGAAATATGAGTGACAGACTCTGGCTTTGAGGCTAATGACATAAAAGTGTTTGAAAGCTGCCAGTCGTTTCTGTCAGGGAACTTTACTCTGCTTTGTATTTAAGAGGTTGCTGCAATTTGAGTGAAACGGCACACATTGTGCACAACACAGCGCACACACACACACAGGATCATTGCAGTTTGGTTCAAAGTAAATGTAAATTGTCTTAGGGAAACCCGTCATACATGTGAGTTTTAAAAACCGGGTTGTGTTTGAAAACCCGTATGGGCGTATGGCCCAGGGAGACAACAAGTCTGTTAACATCTTCTTTTTAAATAACTTTGTTGGCATAGTCTGTGAATTAGGTCTGAGAACACTTGCCAAGAACAGGATCAACTCTACAGCACTGCTAAATAATAGGTTTCTGTAATATTATCGTTCTACAAAGGCACCTGTGTAACATATTGTATTGTATTTAAGTTACAACATTACAGGTGGTAATACAAGAATACATTTAATTAAAAGAAAAACAACTGGTCAGACCATGTGAGATGTTTTTTTCTAAAAGTCACACCAGGGACACTCTGTGTTGTGTTTTGTTAAGAGTTTATACGTTTTAGATTACACACAGAGATTCCTGAACTTTTATTCAACGTGAGGCAGCAGGCCAGGTCAGAAAGACTGCTTATGTGTAGTGAAGTGTTTCCCAACCTTTTATGGCTTTGACCCCATTTTGACATCACACATTTCTGGTGACAGGGACATTTTAGAAGCTGTCACGTGATCGCTGCCGTCAATCAAAATGCACCGGCTCAGATATTGTTATATGCAGAGGACAGCTGTGTAGAACTCTATCAGTAGGTTAACTGCTGAATCCTCACACAGGTAGTAGACTGGTAATATTACAAACTGGCAGAATGGGAACAACATGTTTTGAGAGTCATTTTCAAGATTTTTTCACATCACAAAACATTGACTTATTCAGGAGAAGGCAGACAATCCAGAGACAAAACCATTGATAACAAAACCTGGACAGAGTCAATGTTGTATATAACGTCCCATTTAAAATGCATGTGCACAAAAACAGTGGTGTACAGCACTCACAGCATGTTTATCCTGCCCCTCTACACTGACATAATGTCAGTTTCAGCTACAGAAATCGGACAACGAATAAGAAAAGAAGAAAAAAAAGAAAGAAAATCACCTCATATTTATTTCTGTTTGCTTAGCTGTACATCTTTAGTCTGTATGGCCGCTTTGGTTGAATAACAGGAAGTGGGAACCTGAAGTACTTTGTGGTGGAAACCTGTATGAAGATATAGTCTGAAGGAGTGAAGTATGTGAGTGTTTGATGGGGGCTGAATGGGCCACTTGTTGTAACAAGAAGATGGTGGTCCCCGGGATTTTTGATAGTGATGGATCTTCCTTAAAAAAAAAAAAAAAAAAAAAAAATATATATATATATATATATAAAATAACTATATAAAAATAAATAAAAATATTCCCCAGTGCTTAAAAAACACTTCCTGATAAGATAATAAGAAATACTAAACCCCTGAGATACTCATGACATGACAACACACTCACTGTGTGAGTTACTGCTGAATTCCACTCTCCGGCTCCTCTCCTCTCATCTTCAGTTGAATGACATTTACAGCAACAACGATGGACTGTTAACCTGTTTTTCATGACTGTAAAGAACCTGCCTTTTTATTACAGCATGTGTTTAAATTACCATTCACTCCACTCTCCCTGCAGTATGTGTGTGTGTGTGTTTGTATGTGAGATTGTGTCACAAAGTCCAGAGTCTGCTGCCAACACACAGAGGATGAGGCGTATGGAACTAGTTCACCTGTGAACAGTCAGCAGCAGGTCACTGGAGGAAAATGACCCTCAGCTGACCGCTGGCCTCTGAGGGTCAGAACCTCAGACAAACAAGATGACACACTGACCATCACTTAAATTAATCCATATTAAAATGTATACAACAAAAAATAAACCTAGTCCTGTTATTATATTTGATTGGACAAAAATATTTATATTATTTTGGTGCTAAAACAGTGGTTCCCAAACCCTTTCTGATGTGCCCACATTGTTGACACCTTTACAGCCTTTACTTCAAATATCCCCAAAATGTTTTAAAGTACAGCAATTCTTATAAGATGGATATTCATTTTGAACAAATAAAATAAATTGGCAAACTAATAAAGTCTTCACAACCTGAAATTCCTTTACTCTGCTGCTTCCAGGGGCCCTGAGCCCCTTTTTGAAAATCTAAAAGCCGAAATATGTTTTGTTTGTTTTTTTAAAAGTTGCAGTAGTTGTATTAAAGGAATGACAATAAATAGGACTTATAAATAAAAATGAAAATTAAATAATAAGAATTTGAGTAATTTTATGAATACAAATAAGGATAAAAATAACAAGAACAAAATACAATTAAAAACAATAAAATTATAAGACAAAAAAGATAAAAGAATGAGAAGAATAAGAGCACCAGACTCTGTGACGTTCATTCAGCATGTCTAACATTGCACTTGTAATAGGAGGCTGAGTTCACTGAAGAACAGCATTAATTAAATGCCAGATGTTTTGAGCTGATAGCTGGCGTACCTGCATTTATATGTACGTATAGATATTTGCTTAGGTGTGATATGGGTCACTGATGTTATTCCTTTGTTCTGCAAAGCAGTGCTGCCCTCCGGGCTGCAGCAGCATGAGTGCGAGCTACGTTGTGCTCTGGAAACAAGAAAAGCGGCTCTGTTTTTGGATAGCTGTCTTGGCTTTGTGTGAGAACTTGCTGGCATGCAGTCAAGATCCTGCCCCTAGAGAGGGAAGATTAATGACAGCTAGTCACGGAAAGGCTTTACAGCAGCAGCAGCGGAGAGGAAAGGGAAGAAATAAATTGGGAGAGGAAGGATGGGGTTGGTGGACAAGAGGTGAGAAACAGCTGTTTTGATTGAAACACGATGACTGAGGGATGTGTGATTTGATGAATGTTCGATGGATGGTTATAAGTCAACCAAACAGCACATAACAGCAGCGCAGTCAAAGGTATCAAGATAAATGTATATGTTTTTTTAAACACATATTATTGTTGTTTCAGTGCTAAAAGAAACACTCTCACCTATAATTATGCTAAGCTAAGCTATGGGATCAGAGCACCAGATCTTGTTTTCAGTATATTTACATGCTAAAAATATTATTGCAAGTGTAGTGCAACATGATCCATTGTTTTATGATTGATGAAAGCAGCGGTACTCAATGTCAGGAAAATACTGTCATATTCAAAATGGAGAACTAGTTTACAAACATAATGGATGTGGAGGACGATTAAAAGTTAACGTTTTTAGCATTGACCACCAACTCAGTCAATGTGAAAGACCCTAATTTACTTCCCTAGTTGAGGCTGTTAAAGCAAATGTCTGGGTGAATTTGGAGAAACGCTAACAATATTTTTTTAACGATATGTCTCGCAGCGCTACAAGAGAATGTTTGCATAATGCTACACAAACGTACTGCCTGCTGCATCTCATCACCTCTGTCTTTCTAGAGCTGACCAGACCACAGGACACTCCACTGCTAATGTTTAACCCTGTATCAACCCTGTATCGACCCATAACAGTTGTAAGGCATTTTAATCACAATAAAAATCTAAATAAATAAAACAAATACTTGGATAGTTTTGCAGGGCTGTTAGGCCAAATGCTGGTTTGAATTTTTCTCTCCTACAGTCAGTATTTATCTTGAGCAACACTGCTTTTTGTCAGAAAAAAAAAAGTTTTAATGTAATGCAATTCTATAAACAGATCATTACACAGAAAACATAGTGGAAACAATGACTGCAGTCATCAAGTCAGTATCAACACCAAGATATGAAAATTTGACAGCCACTAATCTTACAGGGAAAAAAAAAAACAACCTTTTCTGCACCTGCGTGAGTTCAATTTGGAAAGGCACCCAACATCCGTGCCAAGCTGAGGGAAGAATGGCAGATAGTGAGTACTTTACAAAAGTTTGAGTTTTAGGTGTTACATACACTCAGAAAGGTTAACGCAACACTGTAACAACCATTGATCCAGTATGATCACCTGTATGTCAAGACAGGCTCCTTTAAAAAGACCCGTTCCGGATGAACAAAAACAAGCCTCCGTCTCTTTTAACTGCTTTTTCACTCATATTATGACATATCAACAGGAATTACATCAAATTTCCATCTTGCACAATGGCCTTTTTTGGGATGTACTCTGTTTAACTCAGAATTTTCTTGTTTATAAAACTCAGACTAAACATCCTGGAGTCCAGTACACACACACACACACACACACACACACACACACACACACGGATCACAGTCACCTTGTTTTTCTGACAAGCTCTTAGTTTAATTCACTGTCTGTTTTTCAAGCTGTTTAATTCATTCTGGAGACATACTGGATTCCTCCATCCTAATGCTGGGTATAATGCTCCATTTCATGAAGCCAAACTATTCTGACCACAAGAATGAAGAGCAAAAAATATTCCTAAAAACAATGTTCTTCCAAAGGACATCCCTATAAATACAAGAGTATGACAGATTACAAAAGTACTCAGCTTTTACTTCTATTTACTACTTACTTACCTATTCTTTGAGAAATTATAAACATCATAAAATGTGGATTTTCTGCAGTGGTTACACAGACACAAAGAAAGAAATTCCAAACAGCCATCATGTCCGCAGCACTGACTTTGTCAAGCCATTACCTTAGGCATTTGGATATTATGGAATTAGATAGCAAAATCAATTTGGCTCATAAAAATCTGATGTTCAGTGATGATTGTATTTTCTCCTTCTTCCTGTCCTTTTAAACCATTTGGTAGAGGACTGCAGCATCAATCTAAAAATCAACTGCAGGTGGGTTTGCGATATGTAAACTACTTAGCATGTGATAGTCTTGAGCTACATAACAGTCACTGCTTCTAGAACAGGAGAAGAAGAAC